CATGTGTTGTGTTTTGACAAAGTTTATTTTTTCTATAAGTATTTCTTTGCTAGAATAACTTCAACCAGTACATTTGCTGCAGAATATTAATCTATATTGTAACAAGAAATATGTTCATATAACAATGAGTTGTGATCTTCACAACCGGAAAACTCAGTTACCCAATATTTTGTCATTCATTAAGCTGGGAAGAGGTAGTCTATAAGAGATTTCATATTTAAACAAAACAGATAATCTTTATCTCTATGGATATATACTGTATCTATGTTTGGCATTGGTGTGTTATTTTTACTTAGTTTTCTGACAAGCATACTGTGACGAAGTGCCCTTCACCACTTGTGCTTGGAGAGGACTAATGGCTAGCTTTTTTCCTTGTGACTATGGCCCCTGGGGTGTATTGCCTGTTAAAAAAATAAATTTTTGCAGATTGGATTCTAAAACACTGTGTCTGGCCCATTTAAACCCTATGGGAAAGGATCTGCACTTTTGAACTGGCACTTCGGATACAGCCGAAGTCCCGAAGTAGTCAAAGTGGCTGCCATTCGACAAACAAACACATGGCGGTGGCCATTTTAATTCAGTCGAACACGTTCAGCAGTGTTTGGTCGTTGAGTTCATGGAACTGAAATCGAATACGCGATGGCACGATTAGCGCTGAACTTCTACCTTCTCTGGAACTTCAACACTTCGAATGGAGTCGAACAGCGTTCAACAAGACGAACTCAACATTAACATTGCTATTTGCACAAACGGCCCCCGTTCTAAGGTGAATGGACTAGTCGCACAGCCCAAATCTCTGGAACTGTTTTGGGCATAAATATGTGCGTGCGTGCAGTCGGTCAAAATGGGACTTTCAGCTATCTCCCGAACCACTGGACCAATTTGCATGAATTTTGGATATGTTTGTCCCCTAAGTATACTAGTTGTAAAAATTTTACTTTATTGGGATTGAATGTATACTTTTGGAGTTATAAAAATTGTGTAAAAAGTATATTATTCGCTTGTAGATAGTTGAATTGATTCAGCTTTGAATTAACTCAATTATCTCCCAAGCAGAGGGGAGGAATTTTACAGAAATGAATGGGAGTGTTTAACTGTGTGTCTGTAAATGATTGGTTGTTAAGTTTGTGTTTTCGGTGTCCAACAAGGTCCACATGGGAAGTAACCTTGTGGGGAAAACTGTATAAAAGAAATGCCCCTTGCACTCAATAAACCAGATCTTCTTACCCTCAACTTGTAGCCTTGTCTCTTGTTGTAGGGAACAGCTACACCAGCTATATCACTGCTAGCTCTTGTAAGAGCTCCCTTCAGCTATACTATCTTGGAGGAGAGACCCAGCTATACTCTCTTGGAGGAGAGACCCAGCTATGCTCTCTTGGAGGAGAAACCAAGCTATGCTCTCTTGGAGGAGAGACCAAGCTATGCTCTCTTGGAGGAGAGACCAAGCTATACCCTCTTGGAGGAGAGGTCCTTCCCATACGCTCCTGGATCCAGAGGTTGGAGTTCCAGGGTGGGGAGGAGACGGCGAGATCCCAACCAAGCTACGGCGGTTCGTGGAGTCTGCGGTGCCTATGGTGTTGTTGTAGAATTATTAGGCCTCTATAAATCTGTAAGGCCCCTTTAAATCCTCTTGCTATACCTCTAAGAGGCCCCCATAGTTTTACAAGAAAGCTTTGTCTATAGAACATAGAATTTGCATGCCAGCAAGAAATAGCTTTGATAAAATGTGTATTTACTAAAAGCCTTGAAACCTAACCTTGAGAAACTAACCATGCCAGCTACACTCTAAATGGATGGCTGCCAAAGCACCCCTCCCATCGAGTGAACACCTCGTGCTAACAAGATGGCGCCTACATCTTGTGTCCACTCCCGTGTCAAGGATGACATCACCTCTTGATAGGAGGGTACCTAACTAACCACTTAACACCTGGACCAATCAATAGTGTCTGTTTGCTGTTATCTTGATTTTCTTCAATGATGTAATAATGCCTTTAAAAGGGTCTGCGCACCCATTTTCTGTCAGAAGCCATTAAACTTCTCTGAAGTTCTTTCATTACCCTGAACTTTGTCTCAGTGTGAATTTACTTCTGCGTGCACGCAACTTTATTATCTTTAATTTGGACAGGAACAGATAGTCATTCAAACTAATTGGTTTGCAGTAAATTATCTACAACAGCTGGCGCCCATAACGTGGGGCTCTGCCTGGGCAGCTGTCCAAGAAGATGCTGGGGGGGTGAATCCTGGGGGAAGGAAAAGAGCCTGATCACCTCTGAGTACACGGTAGAGATTGCTGCAGCACCTAGCCGGTATGTTCCTACCCCTGTGATTGACCTGTTCCAGTGTCTGTGACTGCTGCCGAGAGGACATCAAAGTCAGGTAATAACTTGCCCAGAGTCTTTGTATTGTTAATGATACTTAATTTACCTGCATGTTGACTATCTGTTGCCTGGGTGTGTTTGTATTGGTATGTGTTTAACTTAGTACCCGGGGAGTGTAAGTGCCTGTTTAACTCCTTTTAGGTACCACGTGCCTGTGGTAGTAAGGAAAAAGGGGGGTGGACCTGTGGAAGTTTTCCTGGGGGTCCTCTATTGCCTGTTTAACTCTTTTAGGAGCCACGTGGCTGTGGCTGTAAGGAAAAAGAGTAGGGGGAATCTGTGGAGGATGATGTAGACTCATTGCTTCCTGGGGGTTCCCCAGAGTGTCATTTTGACCGCTTAGCTTCTTGGTAAAATTCCAGCCTCGAGCGCTGAGGCAGGTAAGATTCCAATTCTTTAGGCTATACAGGATTCGGGTTGGAAGCTGTTGCTGTTTCCTGTGGCTGCTGGTAGTGAGACTTGCGGGTGGGTCCGCAACAGGGACACTACGAGGTTGAGGGAGGTGGCTTTTGGCCACACGAGTAAAGGCAAGGGATAAAACTGTTGAACTTATTTGAACTGTGATGCATGCACTGTATTTACACTGAAATGTTATTGTCTTAATTGTCTGTCACACAGATTCCTGTGTTTACTTCTATCTTACTCACTGTACTATTTACACTTTCCCCTCCTATTTCTCTTTCTCTTTGTTGAGAGAAGTGATTGGTCACACACTTCTCGCCACGCTCCAATCCGCGGCTACCACGGGTAGGCGGAATCAGTGACTAGTCTACGTTTTGGGAAGACGTACTTAAAGAGCTTGCTCTTAAAGTAGCAGTCGAGCACGGTAGACGTTCTGTTCCTTTCTCTCTCTATATCTGGGACGCCTTATATAGGGAGGATGGGACAGAAGTTAGATAAACCCAGTAAGGGTTGGTTAGCATGTGATCTAGTGGAAGACAGAGAAGGAGAAGAGATGGTTAAGAAAGTGAGGAAGATTGCTAAAGTATGTGGAATTACCGTACCTCTGTGCGGCAGATTGTAGCCAGAGAGCTGGCGTAAGTTACTGACAGAGAAGAAAGGGAAGCTGTCGGACCAAGATTTGGTTTGTACAGCAGAAGCCTGATACCGAGTAGCAAGAGCTATTCAGCAAAAGGGATAGGTTGAGGAAGAAATTGATCACAAAGGTTTAAGATTGTTTGTGTATTATAATAATTGTGTTACTGGATGCTGATGGATCCCTATTCTCCCCCCCCCCATCAGTCCTACAGATCTCGTCACCCTCATCCTCTCTCTGCAGCTCCCTGCACCTCCAGTCCGTTTCTCCCGTCAAAGATTTCTGGTTTCCAAACGTATAAGTCTCTGTCCTTCTGTCTTGTTACTTTCCAGCACTCACATGGTTAATCTTCATGCCTGCAGCTTCTCTCCCTTTTTTGCACTGTCTCACATCCCCCCCCTTTCCTCCCCACTTGCCTCCGAATGGGGGAGGTACATGCCTTCTGCATTTCGGAGCTGCTGATAAGAGTTAGAGACAGGATTTTTGCTGGAAAATATTCTAATTCAGAGGTTATGGTGTTATAGTTGTGTAATAATATCATTATTGTTGCCGTTTGTATATGTATGTATATATGTGTGTATATATATATATATGTATATATATATGTGTGTGTATGTATAGATTGAGTTTTGTGATAAAGTGGTGAGGATTGTGGGGGAGACACAAGAATGTAGCTCAGTGTTGATTTACGGAGGTAAGTGAATCTGATACAAGAATAGTGGAATATTTGGACGTGTTAAGTGTAAAGGCAAGCGTGATTTGTTGCAAAACTATGCAATGTGGATAGAGGGAATATGCGGAGTTAAGCTAGTATGTGAAGAGGAAAGTGATTAATGGTTAGAGGATGATAAGGGAAATTGGTTGAATTCCGTGAGTTTATTTTGCATCATTTTATTATTTTAAAGTACATGTTTCTAGAAACAGCTGTATGGGCTGTTAAATGCATAATGTTCTCAACTGTCTTATTCAACCTGCCAGGTCTGTTCATAGTTTAGTATTTCATTTTGCAGAACAGAATGTTGCTTCTCTGACTTATTTTAATAGTTATAATATAGTGTATGGTTGAAAGTACGTCAACCACCACCCTAAAGATGGCGCCTGCCAGTCCCGTGACCTATCCACAGTCACGGTTGCTTCTAAAGTAACGTCACTTCCGCCCTTACCATGCCCACACCTCCTGTCTTCCTTTCCCACACATATCATGGACGTCACCCCTCTCACTTCCTCCCTTGCTGTCATTTCCTTCCCCGCCCCTGTCATGGCTGCCTCCATCATGAGGCCTACCCCTATTATGCTCGTCCCATTTAGAGACGTGGTTTTCCTTACACTCTACATATTATGAACTGAAACATTATAATTACTAAAACAATCATGCCATTTGTTTCCCTGTATCAGAAATTTGTCCGTGATAAAAAAAAAAAAAAGAAGGTTGCTAAAATGTAATTTGCAAATGTGGTGTGACCTACATATGAGATCTGTTGGACACGAATATAAGAGCATAACAGCTGATTATCCAGATTAATCTTGCAACAAGGGAAATAGCCAAATAATGCAAGTTATTTTAAACATTGTATCTTTACTTAATCGAATCTTGCTAGTTACAGATCGTATGTTTACAGTAACATCCTTTACGTTAAATGATGGTTTAGCATTAGAAGGGTTTGTGACATGTTTTATTAACCCAGCCACTACTGGTTGTTCATTTTAGTTACAGGGTGGTATAATTGTTATAGTCTAATTAATATAAATGATAGTACCGCAATAGTTAATGTTTTATCCAAAGACATTTAGGAACTTTACTTCACTTACTATTAACCATTATTTATAATGATAGACATGTTCAGACTGCAAAAAGCTATGGCTAATGACATAGAAAGGGGTTTGAGTCAGTAACACAGCCCATACTGAGGAGAGCAAACCCGCTGATGCTTAATGCCCCTGCCATGGCAGTGTCTTCAGGGGAACAAGGGGGGCCTCTAGCTACTGTAATTTTACCCATTGAGGGCCAGCCCACCACTTTCCTAGTTGACACAGGTGCAGCCTGAAGTGTTCTGAGAGAACAAGACCTGCCCGATACCTCATTTCTTTCCAATATTGATGTCTCCTGTGTTGGGGTGGACGGCCTTCCAAGGCAAAGTCCCCTGTCCACCCCACTGCGGGTTGGTAACTGCCACAACTTGCTTGCTCGCTTTGTGGTATCTTCCACATGCCCCATTAACCTGTTAGGAGCTGATGTTCTTTCACGCCTGCAGGCATCCATCACCTTTACTCCAGATGGACAAGTGGAACTATCCACCCCTCTATCTGTCTCAGACACCTCAGCTTTGTGCTCCTTACCCCTGATGCTACATCTAGAAGAGCCTCATGGGGATGCAAAAGACCTACGGACTAATTTCCCTGATTCACTAAAGACTGATGTTCCCAAGAAGCTGTGGTCCACAGGCCCAGAGGACATAGGCCATCTAAAGGTCCCGCCTGTGGTGGTAAAGCTCATCCCAGGCGTAAAATTGCCACGAAAATCACAGTATCCTTTGAAACCAGCTCAAGCTGCAGCCATTACAATTCAAATTCAAGCACTCCTGGAGAAGGGTGCTCTTGTCAAATGTGAATCACCATGCAATACTCCATTATTTCCAGTAAAGAAAAAGACTCCAAAAGGCGAACCAGAAAAGTACAGATTGGTCCAAGACCTCAGAGCGGTAAATGAAGCCACAGTTTTGGACACTCCAATAGTGCCCAACCCACACACTCTCCTTTCCGGCGTTCCACCCTCTGCCAAGTACTTCACTGTCATTGATCTGGCCAATGCCTTCTTCAGTGTTCCCCTGGATCCAACTTGCCAATATCTGTTTGCTTTCACACATGAAAAACAACAGTACACATGGACTGTCATGCCCCAAGGGGCACAAAATTCACCAAGTCAATTTGCGAAGGCCATGTGCTCTATCCTTGATCCATGGCAATCTGACCACCCTGAGGTCGTCCTGCTTCAATATGTGGATGATTTGCTGCTTTGTGGAGATGATATACCCACAACAGAACAATGCTCACTTAATATTCTTTGCTACCTAGCAGAACAAGGATGTAAAGCTTCACGTCTCAAGCTGCAATTCTGCCAACCTACTGTTATCTTCCTTGGCCATTGTCTGTCTCAGGGAACCAGACATCTTACCCGTGACCGAGTTAGAGCAGTACTGGACATTCCACCTCCAAGGACCTCAAAGTCACTACACGCCTTCCTAGGCCTCATTTCCTATTGCCGAGCATGGATCCCAGAAGCCTCGCTCCTTATGCAACCTCTTTATGATGCTCTCAAGTCAGACCCATTTTGCTTGTCCACAGAAGCCCTTGACAACTTCTGTTCTCTCAAAAGTGCTATTGCTTCTGCTCCTGCTCTTGGCCTACCAGACTATACCAAACCCTTCAAACTGTTTGTTTCTGAAAGACAAGGCCATGCAACAGGAGTGCTCACTCAGGCCCATGGTCCTGGAGGCCGCCAAAGGCCTATTGGATTTTTCTCCTGCCAACTGGATATTGTGGCCAGAGGACGTCCCTCTTGCCTTCGGGCCGTCTTTGCTGCCAGAGAGCTCATTGAAAGAACTGGAGATCTTGTCCTTGGCCACCCCCTGGTTGTCTTGGCCCCCCATGACATTTCTGCCATAGTCAACCAGGTCCAACTTAAGCATGTTACTCCTGCTAGGCATCTTCGCCTTCAATGTCATCTTTTGTTGCCTGACAACATTACCCTCCAAAGATGTCAAGTTCTCAATCCGTCCACTCTTCTGCCACTCCCTGAGGGGGGTGTATACTACGGATTCATCATGGACGAAACTTATGTTTTCTTCTCACTGGCACCATCAAGAAGGAAATGCATCCCAACCTATCCTTTCATGATGGACAAGCACTCCTTCATGACGGAGCAGGATATGCCTTCTGTACCATGTGGTACAAATCAAACATCACTCCTGAACCCTGCTATGAAGATGAACTCTATCATCTGGTCGAAGTAAAACTCACTGCACAAGACTTCTACTGTGATTCTGAAGGCAACAGTATGGTCTTGATTCATCTACCTCCGGAACTCAAGCATTTGTACCGTCATTGGGACACTGCCATTCCACATGTCCCTGTGACCAAGTTGAAAACAATATCATGGAATGATCTTGGGCCTATGGCAAAAGCATGGGCCACTATGGACGAATCACAGCTACAGGAAAATGGTGTTGTCAAATATCCAACAACTGACCACCCAAAAGCATGGCCGCGTCATTTCCTGGAGAATGAGTTCCAAGATTTAACCATAGTGAATGACTACGACCCAGATACACCTCATGACTGTTTTGAACAGATGAAAATGGAAACAACACATCTACCAACTGTGCATGAAGACCCATTGGTAGATCCCGATCTCACCCTGTTTGTGGACGGCTCAAGATATGCTGATGAAGAAGGAAGATACCATACAGGATATGCCGTAACCACAACAGATGAAATCGTCAAATCATCATCTTTACCATCAACTATGTCTGCACAAGAAGCTGAATTGCAAGCCCTGACTTCAGCATGCAAGATCTCTGAAGGAAAGCGCGCCAATATCTACACGGATTCAAGATATGCACTGGGCGTGGCTCACGACTTCGGATTAATTTGGAAACAAGAGGATTTCTTACCACCACCGGTACACCAATCAAGCACGGTTCCGCGATCAAGGAGCTGATGGACGCCCTCCTACTCCCAGAAGAAGTGGCTATTTTGAAGATAAAAGCACATGGGAAGTTGGACTCAGATGAAGCAAAGGGCAACCATCTAACTGATCAGGCTGCAAAACAAGCTGCAAAAGAACCACAGGAAGTGGAAAGAAGAGTGTCCGGAAATGAAGAAACTCCCATATTTACTCTGCAGACTCTTCCAACTGACCTGAAAATCCTGCTGGAACAACAGGCTATAGTTGCCCCTGAAGAAATACAGAAGTGGAAACAGAAAGGGGCAGTTCTGAAGGATGGAGTGTACTCCAACAACCTCAATTTCTGCCTCCCTAAGAATTTGTACCCAGCAGTCGTACAATGGGCACACAGACCTGCACATTTATCAAAAGATCTAATGAATGCTCTTGTACAAAAATACTACCTCACTGTCCCCATATGAGATTCTATTTGGGACTGCACCTAGGCTAGGTTGCTATTTTCCCCAACAACTACAACTTCAAACTGATGTTTTTGTAGATTATGTAACTGAACTCGCAAATGCTTTGAACAAAATCCATGTCCAAGTTTTCTCTAAAATTCCAGATCCTGATTCTGACACAGGCAACCACAGTCTGCTCCCCGGTGACTGGGTTCTGGTCAAGAAATTTGTGCGAAAACACACCCTGGAACCAAGATTTGACGGACCGTTCCAAGTTCTCCTGATCTCCCCTCCCTCTGTCAAATTGGCCGGAAGGCCTAACTGGATCCACGCTTCCCACTGCAAGAAGACACCTGCCCCAGAGGAAGCTAACTCTATGCAACCATGTGCCTCTGGTACATTATCTCCTTAGTTGGCCTCCTTAAAGCCCAGCAGGTGGCCATCACCAAAGATGCTAGTGGGTACACCTTCTGGTATAATTCATCATGTACCCATGTGGCTACATTCACTTTTGATTACTGTGATATTGTAGAATGCCCATTCCCTAAGTCACAGATTCAAGCCATTTATAAAGATATACCACAAGCAAAAGACCCTTACGTTTGTGTAGTAGATGAACAATGACTGTAACTACTGGGGGGCTGCGGGATGGAATACTGGGCCTGCCTGGGGTTATAAACCCAAAAGTGCTTTATCTAAGATAGACAATCAGGGTAGATCCCTCCTTCAAAGAATGACTTTAAGGAGGAAGTACCCCTATGAAATTAATGTTAAACATTGAACATCCTGGCCCCGAGGATGCAGACCGATATGTAATGGGAATGTATTGGAAGAAAGGTTCCTACAACAAATTAGGTCATTTCTACCTCAGAGATATGTACCACTCTCCAGAGTAGCAAGGGGCTGATCATATGGTCCCAAATCCGCTAAAACCACATATCCAGTCCTTTAAAGATATGATGGCCATCGCTAACCCCACTTTTGAAGATACCATGGCCGCTGAAACTGGATTCAATGACATTAATCTGTGGTTAGAATGGATGAGGTATAATGCTAACAAACATAATAAAACAGCATGTTATGTATGTGGCGGTGCCCGACCCCACCTTGGCACCGTCCCCCTAACTCTCCCTTTAGAGATAGAAGATTGCTTCTTAAGCCTTTTGCCTACCAATATGACTTTAATAGGTCCCTCTGCATGGCATGGACGGCAGAATACCCTCTCTTAGTTGAAAATGTTAAGCCACCAGATGGAATCACAGTCTATAGAGGTAATTACACTTGTTATGCCATGTATGACGGGATTGGTAAATTCATGGGTAATTTTTCTAAAGGTTATTGCGCCACTTACAGAACTGTTCCTATACGCCTGTTGCAACACCATACCAGGTCATTGGGGGGATATTTACTGGTTATGTGGGGATCTACAATTAAGATCTAGGCTGGAAACTGAGTGGTGGGGTGAGTGTACCCTGGCCAAAGTTATCATGCCCATTCATATTATTTCTGATAATCATCATGACACATACGACCCTCCACATACATCAGCCAGAGTAAGGCGCGAAACCCCAGTAAAAGGCAGTTTTGACCCCCACATTTACATACATGCCATTGGGGTGCCTAGGGGGGCACCTAATGAATTTAAAGCTAGAGATGAAGTAGCTGCAGGTTTTGAATCACTTTTTACCATAGTCACTGCCAACAAAAACCTTAATTGGATTAATTATATCTATTACAACCAACAGCGCTTCGTGAACTACACCAGGGATGCCCTCCAGGGCTTGGCCGAGCAATTACAGGCCACATCCCAAATGACCTTCGAGAACAGACTGGCCTTAGACATGATCTTAGCCGAAAAAGGGGGAGTCTGTAAAATACTTCCCGACACTATGACTTGTTGCACTTACATTCCAGAAAACACAGGTCCTAATGGTAAAGTCACTCTAGCCATAGCTAAATTAAATAGACTCTCAGAAGAGTTAAAGAGAAACTCTGGAGTTACTGATCCCTGGGAAAAATGGTTTGGTTGGATGACTGGTTGGCAGAGAGCTTTAGTCCAGATTGGTATTGCCTTACTAATTTTTTCTTTTTATTCTCGCTCTTCTCATTTGTTGTGTCCTCCCATGCCTAAGGAAATTCCTGCAGAAAACTGTAGACCAAGCAACACCAACCTTCACTCATCTGACAATCGATGATCAAGATCTCATCTCACCCTGTATTCCGCTACAAACTCTCCTGTATACTGATGAAGTGCAGAAAGTCTAGGAAGGGACAGTACAGGGACAGCGTCCGTCTTTATGGGTAGACTGCCGTACGGAGAAGTAGTGGATAAGCCACTATGGGTTACCAGCGGAGTGAAGAGTGTTCCTGAACCATACTGACGGATGTGCTGCAGCCTGTTAGGGTCAAGAGAGGGATAGACTTGCACTTTACATTAACACTAAGTCAGCGGTCATGGGGTTTCTGTGTCTTTGGGCTAATACTTCTTCTGATACTAACAAATAAAGTTTTGTCTTTTAGCAAATAACATTTTAGGGGGGACTGTTGTAGAATTATTAGGCCTCTATAAATCTGTAAGGCCCCTTTAAATCCTCTTACTATACCTCTAAGAGGCCCCCATAGTTTTACAAGGAAGCTTTGTCTATAGAACATAGAATTTGCATGTCAGCAAGAAATAGCTTTGATAAAATGTGTATTTACTAAAATCCTTGAAACTTAACCTTGAGAAACTAACAAGTGCCAGCCACGCTCCAAATGGATAGCTGCCAAAAGGCCCCTCCCGTCGAGTGAGCTCCTCATTTTAACAAAATGGCGCTAAAACCTGTAGGAGTTAAGAAATTACGTAGATAGTGACCTAAGAATGGGGAGGGCATTTTACTAACATCTTAGCACCTAAGCCAATTAACAATGTCTATTTGTCTATATCTTGATTTTCTTCAATGATGTAATAATGCCTTTATAAGTGTCTGCGCACCCATTTTCTGTCAGAAGCCATTAAACTTCTCTGAAGTTCTTTCATTACCCTGAACCTTGTGTCTCAGTGTGAATTTACTTCTGCGTGCACGCAACTTTATTATCTTTAATTTGGACAGGAACAGATAGTCATTCAAACTAATTGGTTTGCAGTAAATTATCTAGAACACTAACAAGGGGACCCTGCCAGTGAAAAATTGTGCTGGACTCTGTGCTGCCCTACTGAACATTTAATATCCTCTTCTACCACTTGGACTCTGGTATAAACCACCACCAATGCAGAGAGGAATTCTGCCACTTCCAATGAGATGGTGTCCTGGAGCAAGGCCATGCAAATTGCTAATTCATATTTTGTGAGCATTGAACTTGAAATCTTGCACATTCCTGCCTAGATTTGGTCACCAGAGACAGATGACCCCTGCCCTTGGTATGATCGGTCCATTAAGAGGACAGAGATGGCGCCATATTAGAATCTACTGTGAAGCTTTGAAGGGGTGGTCAGAAACTCATTCATGGGACCCTATTAGTGTGGCTAATACTACCGGGGGGTACACCCCAAGCTTCCTACTATTACCCATTGTTCAATTTAGTTGCTATAAAACTTGCTTCACTGGTGTCACAGACTCACATGCCCATACTCCACAATGTCTAGGCCACTCCCCATTATTGATAGTTGTGATGACATGTTGCAAGGATTTAGGAGGATTACTGATTTTTGATCTGTGACGGTGATAATCTGTGAGTGCCATAACTTTAGAAACATGGTTTTATATGTTTATTACAGAGAAGGAATCATAATTATGCAGGAGTTGTACATGACAGTGGACAACTTTGGTGTACTTCTCTTTCCAGCGCTACTATGCCACAGGTTAGTATGTTAGTCATGTTTGCTGTGGGATTATTATATAGACTTTGTATTAGTTTATAGAAAAGGATTTTGAAAACTAAATTTGGGAACTCTTATTAGATGTGGGCCAAGATAATTGGTCACATGTCTTGTGAGCTTCAATATTCAAATCCATAGAGCATTAAATCTCGCTCCCTAATTATGAGCCAACAACTGCTGCTGTGAAGGTTTGCTTTAGTGGGCTGTTGTCTGTGCACAAATCCCAGTGTAGGTGAAGAATTATTGGGAATAATATCTGCAGTCTGTTAGCTCTAATTTTAGTTAGTGGTTTGTCAGGCTAAATGCATTGACCTGACATGTATTATAATCGAATGTGTCTTTGCAAAGAGAGCCCATAGTAAAGGAAATCTGAAAAATGCGTCACTGCATTCTGGGAGAATAGTGAAAACACTTTTAAGGTTCATACTTAAATTGGGAACCATAGGGACAATCTTGGGAACGGCAAATTTTAGGCAGGAATATCCAAACTAGAAACTTTTACGAAATGGAACTATTTTTACAGCTTAGTTATTTTATTTTTTTTAATTGTTTTTCAGATTCTCTTCACAAGTACAGTCCTATTTTATATATATATCTTATAGTACATCAAGGGTAGTGATGTTCCATAAATTCAGTAGCCATGAGTTACTTGTAGTCTTCGAACATAACATAGTTGAGTACAGTCCGTAACGACTAGCATAACATTTGTACATTAAAACAAAAGTCAGCTTATGACATGAGCAGTGACTATAGATATATATTATCTGTTTGCTCTCTTGCTGCACATGTCGTATTGTTGTTGGATCATACAGTGTGTGATGTCAGCAGCAACTCATGAGAATTGTTTATACAATACACGAATGTATAGTCTATAAACTAAAATTATATGAACAAAAATTATAAAAAGAAAAAGATAAAGAGCTGATCAATAAACTGAGAACTATATTTGTATAAAAAACTGAGAAGTGAGTGTGTGGTATGTGGTACTGATGTAGTCTACTTAGCTGGGAAATAAGTAATGGCGTGCAAGGCTTTGTTCCTGTAGCGGGGTAATAATTCTTTAGGTTGTCATATAATCTTATTAGTTGTATGGGGAGTTGGGGTATCGTTAGTATGTACAGTATACATACTGTACCCTATTTATCTGCTATATGTATGTAATAGGGTGTGTGTGTGTGTGTGTGTGTGTGTGTGTGTGTGTGTATGTATGTATGTATGTATATATATATATACACACACACACACACTCTATTAGTTTAAAATCTCCTCCAACCTTCTAGCCATCCTATCCCCCAGCACTGTAGACCCTCTCCCGTTTAGGTGCAACCCATCACTGCTATAAAGGTTGTACCCAAGCGTCTAAGCTAGAGATGTGTAGAGACATGGTGAGCAATATGTAATCGCTTCTTGACCCAACACAAATGTTGTAAATATGGCTTGTAATGTCCTAAAAAAAGTTGTGGGAGTTTATGTTTGCTCGACCTAGCCATCTGAAGTGCGGTTTATTCCAGGCGTCTAAATCCTTACATATATCCTCTACCAGATTAGGGAAGTTTGCTGCACTTACGTTTTTAATAGAAATGATGAGATTGACACCAAGGTTTTTTTATGGAATGTTGACAGCCTAGTTATTTCACCCTAAAATCTAAGTTTTCCTACCAGTGCCTGCATGATATCATTCTAGCATCTAGGGGGCAGAAGGAGGGGCTATGAACACATTTAGTAGACAACAGGCATTCCTTTCAGGCTTAACATCTTTATTTCCTGTTGTCATTTTTACGAAGTTGCATTTCCAGATTTCTTACAAATATCCGTAAGCAGGTTATTCCACTTTTTGGTTTATGCATTGTTGTTTTGCCACTGATATGGCTTTCTGGTCATTCATTTTCAATCACATATTTTTGTAGAAAAGCCGTGTATTAAATATCAGGCAATTGTTCATAGAACCCACAAACAAAAATGTCAGGAAACCTAAAGGAAACCTGTCATTTCCTGCAAGGCATTCTGTATTGTGGAACCACATCTTATCAAACATCAATAAAATTATAATGCTTCGTTCAGTCATGTGTATAAGCACATTGAATGTTGTCATTAATTTACTGAATGAAAGAGAATGGCTAAAAATAGGAGGTAATATGTCTAAAAGCTTTCTGGCTATGGGCCTCTGTGTTAAAAGATTCATCTTCTGCTCCAAATGAGGTAACAAGCACAGGATAAGTGAGACACATGAATGGTTAATTAACCTAGCATTGACAGGCGTATTTGATTGCACATAAAGGGGTAAACCATATGGGCACTATTACAAACACCACAACTCCCAGAAGGGAACATGATGGTCAAAACAGTTAATAATCACCATTTGTCTGTCCTACACACAAAATAATGATAACACTTCCTCTTAACACCACCTACACCTCTAAAAGCTGCCATTACCAAGACAGTTTATACATATTGAGTCTTGGTTACCCAACAAAATTAGATTAAAAACCACGTCCTTGGTGAACAGGGTTTTTGTTCTCTGAATTCCAGGTATGTTAAAACATATTTACACAAAACAGACAAAATAAAAATAGAGAAAATTAACAGAAAATCCCTAATACTCATCATATGTCACGCCTACTAATGTGATCCAACATGCAAAACTATGTAACATCTACACAGAATAGAAAAATAGACAGAACGTAAACCGGTCCTTAAAATGGCTGGATTAATACTTTGAAAGACAGAAAATGGTCAAGGGAAAGCCGAGGTCAGGAAGCCAAAAATACACAAGATCGATAAGAGAGCCAAGTCAGGGAAACCAGAGATCAGAATAGTCAGGAATAGCCAAAGTCAGAATA